GGAGCCTCCGTGGCCACAGGCACCATCGGCGCTTTATTCTTTATCAAGATGACTGTGAGGCAGCCACCATCCCAGCTACAAATGACAAACCTGAGGCTCTGAGCTTAGACGCTACTTTCTAAAATAACCCGTGACTATGACCCTGGCTCTCGCCTCCCTTCTGGGAAGAAGGAATTCTGTTGTTCAAGACCACTTAGAGAAGCCGGACATTTCAGACACATTTTTACTGAGTTTGTAAAACAAATCCAAGCATCAATAGAGGCCTGCGTGCATCATCAATCCTCTCCCTTTGAGAAAATGTTACGATAAACACTAATTTAAGTGACATCAAAATACCATGTGATTAAAACAAATACAATAAATCTAAGTTCTAAAGAATGATTTGGTAAGGAAATCACTTTTAAAATCCAAAAATTATCTTCCATTAGAATGATTTATGTAGAGTCACATTTTATTTTAAGTATGTTTTTATTGATTCCCGAGAGGAAGGGAGATGGAGAGAGGGAAAGAAACATCAATGATGACAGAGAATCACTGATCAGCTGCCTCCTGCACGCCCCTACTGGGGATCAAGCCCACAACCCGGGCATGTGCCCTGACCAGGAATTGAACCTTGACCTCTTGGTTCATCAGTCGATGCTCAACCACTGAGCCATACCAGCCGGGCTAAAGTCACCTTTTAATATATTAGACACCATCGGGTCTCATTTTGGGCACAAAGACCAATCTTACAAGGGAACTGGATCTTCATCTCTCCGAGGGGCGGTGGGTGCAGCATGAACAAATCAGTTCTGTATTTGGAGCCTGTTACTGTAGAACAACAGCCGATCGCCGAGGAGAAAACAGGAAGTTAGTATCTGCACACACCCACGGCTTCCCGGGAACTGGGGTCCCAAATAAGGGAGTAGTGCCTGACACCCAGCAGCCCCAGATCTGCAAGGCAACCTGTGGCTGCTGCGTGAATAAAACAAATCCATGAACAAGGAACCAGGAAATGGAGTTCTGGTTAAGGTTCCAGAAAAGCAATGAGACACTGAGAAAGTCCCTATAGGCATGCCTGCCCAGAAAAACATCTTTATCTTACTGAGATATTTATTTTCTTCTCAAGAAAAAGCATAGCTGGTGTGGCCCTGGCTGCTGCAGAGGCCGCGTGAGGCGATGCCTCGAGAGGCTAGGCGTCATGGTTAACAAGAAACTACGCCCCTGAATGTTATGTCCCCAGCAGTCTTGGTGAAGTAACCCTATCACCCTTCACAGGCACAAATCTTTGGATTCAACATGGCTACCCCCTGTAGCCGTCTTCTCTGGCACGAGACGAGCAATGAACTTTGGAGATGCAAACGCAGAGATGCTCAATGTCCGAGAATCAAAATCAGACACAGTGAATGGCAGACCTCTTACATCGAGGGTGTCCTATCAAAAACGTGGTAGTCAAGCCCGGCCGGTGTGGCTCAGTGGTTGAGCATCAACCCATGAACCAGGAGGTCACGGTTCGATTCCTGGTCAGGGCACATGCCTGGGTTGTGGGCTCCATCCGCAGTGTGGGGCGTGCAGGAGGCAGCAGATCAATGATTCTCTCTCATCATTGATGTTTCTCTCTCTCTCCCTCTCCCTTCCTTTCTGAAATCAATAAAAATACATTAAAAATATATATACCTAAACTTTACAATTTGTAAAACACTTGCTTTTGTGGAGGTAATGCAGGGAAAGGTACAAAGTGCGAACAGTTCAAATAGGTATAAAGTCCCTGCCTCCACCGCTGGCCCGATGTCAGTGAACTTCCTGAAAGTGAACCGGGGACTTGCGTAGCCTCCCAGAACCGCAGGTGAACAAGACATGAGTGTATCCATCCGCGTTAGGAAACAGGAGCAAATTATCGAAATGTCCTGTCCCTTAGCCGAGCGGACACTTTCCTTATGTCCGAGCCGTTCTCAGCCTTTCCATCAGGTGCACAGCAGACGCAGACACGGATTACCCTTTACCTGCCCAGGGGCCCCGAGAGGCAGACTGTGTTCCGACCTTTCGTCCCTATGAACGACCTGCAGTGACCTCCCCACAAGCATCTGCCCGCCTTTACATACACACACAGGAAGGAACAGATACACACACAGCCAAACTGGGTTTCCAAGAGGTTCAACCAAATGACCTCCCACCAACACAATGAGCTGCAGCCTCGCCCACTCCAGGTTTTATCCACGCGAACTTTTCTTCTGTGATGGAGGCTGAACGATGTAAGAGTTACTTATGTTTACTTAACTGTTCATGATCTTTGCCCATGTTCCTACCAACTACTGGTCTTTTCCTTATCTGTCACAAAAGCGCTTATAATGAAAGAGTCTGGCTCTCAGTCTCATATTTTATCCATCTGTCCTTTTTTTTGTTTGTTTGTTTGTTTGTTTTTGTTTTTATTGATTTTTTACAGAGAGGAAGAGAGAGGAATAGTTAGAAACATCGATCAGCTGCCTCTTGCACCAAGGTACATGCCCTTGACCGGAATCGAACCTGGGACCCTTCAGTCCGCAGGCCAAAGCTCTATCCACTGAGCCAAACCAGTCAGGGCTCATTTGTCCTTTTTTTAAAACTTTCTGTGTGGTATGTTTCACTAAAGTTACATATTTATACTACGGCACATGATGGTAATAATCTGGAACAAATTGGCAACTGAACTAGCATGTTTTTATAAAATACAGTTTTCAGCTCAGCTATGATGTTTCTCAACACAAGCACCAGAAAATCCAACTCAAGGTGGCTACAAACCAGGAAGTTTGTACTGCGGATGGGCATCGTGCGCCCTGCCCTCCCGACCGCGCTGTCCTTCCTGGGTGTTGGCTCATCCCTGGCCTGACCGCAGAAGGAATGCAGCAGCTCATCCATGCACAGCATCATCCAGTAGGGGTGATAGTCCTAGGGGACAAGGAAGGACTTCTCCAGAAATTCCCAGTAAATTCCCCAAATGTCATGACCCCAATCAGGTCACATGTCAATTCCTGAAGCAATCACTGACACATGGACATCGTTCCTGAGCCGGGCAGAGAGCCAGGCTCTGTGACACGCGCACTGGATGTGCAGGGGTGGGGGGACGTCCTGAATGAAACTGGGTTTTGTCTGGAGGAGGCTGCTGGGTAGGCGACCCTCCCATGATGTGATGGTGCCATTGTGCCAGTGCCTAGGAGGGGCCGGGGAGATGTGGCCATTCATCACAGGGGTGTGAACGGGCCCTGACTCCCCAAAAACTATCTGAAGGAAAACATTTCTGAGGAAAAAACTTACACTTACTGCTTCAAATCTGAACGCATGATTACAGCTGTAAACATGCTGTATTAATCAGTGTGACCCGAACAGAAAGGGCAACGCGGTTAGGTCATGGTATCTGAAATGAGAACAATCTCAATGCTTCATCTCCCAGAAATGCTGCTCACTGACTTCATGATGCCGCTCGAGCCAGTGCGCACACTCACTCAGCTCCTTCTCTTCAGCTCAGCACCACGGACAGTCCAGACTCGGGGCCTGACAGCCCCAGGACCAGCCCTGCTTTGGTGCCGACCCCACGCTTCCGTCCTCTGAGCTCTATTTTCTGCCGCCTGCCCCCGTCAGCGGGCACATGCCATGCTTCTTGGTCACCCAAACCCCAAGACTTTCCCCATGAAACACGTTGCCACTAACACTTCTCTGTGTCACTCTTCATGAACTACCATTTTGTAAGTTTCAATCTATCGTTCCAAAACGCCAGTATCTCGCCACTGTGTTAGCTACGCCTCCCGGTTTCACCATCATCTGCAATCTGCAAGCATCCTGATGCAAGCAGGGATAAAACCTGGGCCACGACGCGCGGCGGCATGCCCTGCCTTCGACGAGCAGCTTTACTGACGCCCCAGAGCACTCAGCTCCTCCTGTGACCGGAGCAATCGACAGGGAAGGTTTCCACCACCTCAGCTAAGTGTCTGTCTGCAGCGCACGGTGACATGGAGGGGGAGCTATCATTAAGAATAGATGTGACTCATCAATGAGAGGACAAACAACCCAACTGAAAATTGGACAAAGCATCTATATAGCCGTTTCTCCAAAAATGATAACAAATGGCCAATAAGCGTCTGAAGACATGCTCGCTGTCGTTCCTCATCAGGGATGCACATCAAAACCAGTGAGATAGTATTTCACACCCTCCGGGATGGCGATGACCAGGAGGCACATAGCTCTGGCCCGTGTGGCTCAGTTTGTTGGCGCGTCATCCCATGGACCAACAGGTCACTGGTTCCATTCCCAGGCAGGACACCTGCCCAGGTTTTGGGCTCCATACCCAGGGGGGGTGGGTTCCAGTAGAGGTACATGAGGGAGGTAACCTATGGACGTTTTCCTCTCTCGTTGATGTTTTTCTTTCTTTCTCTCAAAATCAATAAAAACTTTTTTAAAAAAAATAAGTCATATAAGAACAAGTGTTGAAAATTGGAACCTTATAAACTGCTGGTGGGAAAGAAAAGTGGTGCAGCTGCTGGGAAAACAGCCCGGCAGTTCTCAGCAGGGGAAACCTTATCACAGCAATCCCACCCTCGGCACAGACCCAGGAGAACTCCCAGTCAACTCCCTGAACGCATGGCCCCAACGTCTACACAAAAACATGTTTGTGAGTGTTCACAGCAGCATTATTTGCAACAGCCAAAAAGTGGGAACCAGCCAATGTTGCTGCCTGAGGAATGGATAAGTAAAATGAGGTATATTCATACCATGTACTAGTACTCAGCCACGAAAAGGAATGAAGTACTGACACCCGCTACAGCAGGGTGTGTCCGCCTTCCCGTGTACAGGACTGCGCCCCAACCAACCGCGCCCCGCCGGCCACACAGGCGGCTTTCTTACCTCTCATGCTGACGCACACGATGGCCAGCATGGTACACACGATCACCGCCAGCAGGACCAGGAGCACGACCATGTAATTGCCGAGCAGCACCCCGCGAGCACAGTCCAGCTTCCCTCGGTACCTGAGATACAAGGCCAGGATGCCAAGCCACCTGTGAGGAACAAGGAGGGTCAGAGGTCCATCCAAGGAGCTGCTTTGCCGAACACAATAGAAAGAAATAAAAGGAGTGGGTCGTTCCCGAAAACGAGGTGAGGTTCGCCCTGAAACACAATGTTCACCAATAAAAGATCTACAAAGTCAGCTAAGCCTATGACTTTTTAAAATGAGTTTCATACTTCCCGTGCTTCCACAACTTCTTTTTCTGTGCCGGCTGCAAGGCATGACAGGCTTTCACAGCCGTAAGTGAGCAAATATCACGGCTCAGAAACACACAACTGGTAAACCAACACACTGCGTGCGAGCTAAATTATTAACAGGAGAAATGTTACTTCTGTGGATTAACAGGAAACGGATACGCACACACTGTAACCTGCTGTGTCTAATACAAAAGGCCGAGGGGGAAGACAGCAGACCTGCAGAGGCGCTGGTGGTGAACACGGATGAACGTGAAAGGAGCAGCACTGTGGACTCACGAGTGTTCTGCCATTCAGTGCACCACAACGCAAGGTGGCACTGAGCGACGCCACAGCAACTGTCACTGGGGCTATCTCGGCAGAGGGCACCACCCGCCTGGCAAGAACACGGTACTAGGATTCAAGCCCAAGGATTCCAGTCCCGGTGGAAACGGACGGGGTCACTTCCTATGCTTTTGTCAGTTCTGTGATAGGATGACCCCGTGTCTAGAAAAAGTGGGAACTGAACTCCGAAAGGCTTAGCTTTGAAAACTATTAAACTACACAGTAGCAGGTCCCAACGTTTCATGTTTTTCTTTCTTTCCCCTCGAGAATCTACTTTAAAAAAAAAATAACAACGGTATTATTATTATTCCTTGCTCAGACCCTCTGAGAACAGCCCTCAGGGCCCCGATCCACTTCCTCCCGATCCCACGCAGGAAAGACAAGGGAGGCTACGCCAAGCCTGTCTGCTGGCGGTCGAATGCAGCCACGGGGCTCAGGGAGGCGCTGAGCCGTGCAATTGGGAGGCGCTGAGCCGTGCAATTGCGCATCTCACGGGGCAGGTGCGCCTCGAGGTGCTGGGCGTGCCCGCGCGGCGTGCGCCCCGGGCCAAGGAAGCAGATCCCCAGGCCATGGCTTTCGGGAGGCGAGGGCGTCCCGGGGGCTCTCGGCCGGCGAGGGCGTCCCGGGGGCTCTCGGCCGGGCTCGCGCCGCAGGTGCCCCGCAGCGCCAGGTGCCCCGCAGCGCCAGTGCCCACCTGGCGCCCCGGCCCGCAGTTTGCCGGCTGTAAAATGGGAGAATAACAGCACCTCCCTCCGCGGGCGGTGGGGAGGACTAGACCAGGGAACGCACGGCAAACCCTGGGCACCGGGGACCTGCCGACACGGACACGGTCTCTCCTCCCGGACGGCGCGCCAGCCCCGACCCCCGCCCGCCCTCTCCCTCCGCGGCGGAGCCCGGCGCCCTCACCACAGCACCCGCAGGAACAGCTCGAACAGCCCCGGGAAGAACAAGTCGTCGCTGGCGATGGCCCAGCGCCGGCCGAAGAGCACCATGCCCGCCATGGCGAAGGTCGCGCCGCCCGGCCCCGGACAGCCCGCCGCGCGCCGGTCACCACTCTGTGCCCCACGCCCTCGCGGTTTCACAACTAAACTGACCGCGACTCCGCGCAGGCGCACGGGAGCCAGGCCGGGCGCGTGCGCACGGGGAGGCCGAGCCTGGCGCGCGCGGCGGGGCCCTCTGCGCCTGCGCAGTGCGCTGACCCGGAAGACGCCGGCCGATTCCAGGGCAGGTGTGCAGGGGGTGAAGTCCGTCCTGCTCATACTTTCTAGGTGAGGACTGCGCCAGCCCGGAGGGATCAGCTCCGAGACCCTGAGCGGTTAATGCGGATCTAGGCTCATCCCGGGCCCGCAGGGCTCCAGGCCTGTGGCGCCGTTGCCCGGTCTGTGCATCCCGCGGGCGGGAGGAGGGGACAGGTGGCCCTTGTGGAGTTGAGGACCTGGAACCACCTGGCAGCTGGGGGCGGGGGGCGGGGGCAGAGCCTCCCAGGCAGGCCGGCTCAGCACCTCCACTCTCCTCCTCCCGGGTCCGAGCCCCTGCATCTGGAGCCCGGCCTGGACGCACACTCCCTCCCTTCTGCCCTGTCTCCCCCACAGCGACCCTGTCGCGCCGTCAGACCGAGCCCATCCTCCGCTTGGATCCTGCAGGTCTTCGCTTTGTGTGTTAAATGGGCGCCGACCCCCAGCCCCAAGCCTTTACCTAGTATCGCACATCACACATCTGTAAGTGAGTGTTTACCGTCTCCCCGGGGTGGGGTTACTCCTCTCTCCCGCCATCACCCCACTACCTGCCTCCTAGTATCCCTCCCTGAAACTCGTTCTCGCCCGAGGGCTTCTTACATTCTCTGTCTCCTCTGCCTGGGAGGCTCCTCCCGCAGGCATTTCCATGCCACTCACTTCATTCAGGCTCCTGTCACTGCCTCAGACAGACCTCCCCCGCCTCCCTATCTACAACAGCACACCCAGGTCCCATTCCCTCCCCACGCGTGGGCTTTCTTCATAGCACTTTGCCACTCCCTGTCTTTCATGTTTATTCCCTCCCTCCTCCCACCCTCCAGTGTCAGTGGTATGAGCATGGGCACCCTGTCCATTGCTATTCACATAATGGAACACATTGAATATTCCATGAATGAATAAACAGACTTATTAAAGCTTTCCGAGTCGTAAGTTCTTTCAGGGTTCTTCTAAAGGGCATAATTTCAGGGCTAAAAATAATATTGAAATTGTACTGATGGTTGTCAGAATGATTCAGGGAATTGTAAACAGGGAAGTTATGAAGTTTTTATAGAAAAAAGCCATTCATCCATTCACAAAATTAATATTTACTGGGCACTTGATTAAACAATGAGGTCAGGGAAGGTATCCCTGAAGAAGATATTGAAATAAGATCTGAAGGAAAAGTAGGAATTAAGATGAGAGGGTGATTCAGAAGTTAGAAGGTTACACCTGTGATCACACATATTCTTAAATATAATTGTTCCCTTTTGAAAACAGGATTTGTAAGGCTTAGCAATAAGCTAATGCTCTACATAAACTTTTGTTAGTAAATGCACATGTGAAAAGCGTATTATTCCCTTATTTTAAACACAGGTTTTTCAGTTTCCTGCTATTAAAAACAGATATTTTAGCCCTAGCTGGTTTGGTTCAGTGGATAGAGCGTCAGCATGGTGACTGAAGGGTCCCTGGTTCGATTCCGGTCAAGGGCATATACCTGGGTTACAGGCTCGATCCCCAGTAGGGGGCATGGAGGAGGCAGCCAATCAATGATTCTCTCTCATCATTGATGTTTCTATTTCTTCCTCTCCCTTCCTCTCTGAAATCAATAAAAAAAAATTTTTTTAATAGATTTTAAAGTAGACTTATTAAAAAAGATCTATTTTAAAAATAACTTTCTTATTTCGAAAATGAAGCTCCACGACAAAGCACAGCTCTTGAAAGGGGAAGTGACCGTCCTGACTTTTTTTTATGATGAAATGTTTAGATGCAGAGATGCGGGACACCGAAGGCCCCAGCATCCAGATTCAATGAGGGGTAACATCTGCCGTATTTGCTCCATCTTGAATTTTGGGAGAAAAAAACCTTTGGTATCCTTCTCTGCTGCTGTTTCAGATTAATTTCACCTTTTAATTGCAAACTATAAGTATTTTCCAGAGATTTTTTGTCGTTAATCCTCACCTGAGGATATTTTTTCCATTGATCCCTAGAGTGAGTGGAAGGGAGGGAGGGAGGGAGAAACATGGATGTGCAATGTGAGACACATCAATTGACTGCTTGCCGCACACACCGGGGTGGGGATCCTGCAATCTAGGTTTGTGCCCTTGACCGGGAATCAAACCCGAGACCCCTGGGTCCGTGGGCCGACGCGCTAATCACTGAGCAAAACTGGTCAGGGCTGTTCAGAGACTTTCTTGGCATTTCATCTCATCTCCATATTAACTTGGAGAAACTGATCTTTACTCTCACTTTCCCAAATCACTGGCTCATCTTCTACTCTGTTTCTCCCTTTAGGACTTGGTTTTCTTAGAGTAAATCTCTATGTCCAGAGGAAAATGAATACCCTGCATTTGAGGTTTGCTGCTGCTGTTAGCTGCGGGCGGACAGCTTTAGCCAGGCGAGCTTTCCCTGGATCGTTGCTTCTAAGCAATTCTTTACAGTCCGAGATCTTCAGTTTTCAGAACTTTAACGTCACTTTTTTTAGTTTCAGGGCACACCAGTTTCCGTTACAGAACCATTTATTGTCTTAGAAACCTTATGAGTAAATAGGTTTTGTATTTTCATTCTGTTTTGGTAATGGAGCCAAATGTCATGAAGTGTTTGCCTAAAGACCTCGCCTTTTGCCCAGCTGGGTGTGCTCAGCCGTTGGATATTCACCCAGGAATCAAGAGGTCACCGGTTTGACCCTAACCGGTTTGGCTCAGTGGATAGAGCGTCGGCCTGCGGACTCAAGGGTCCCAGGTTCGATTCCGGTCAAGGGCATGTACCTTGGTTGGGGGCACATCCCCAGTGGGAGATGTGCAGGAGGCAGCTGATCGATGTTTCTCTCTCATCGATGTTTCTAACTCTCTATCCCTCTCCCTTCCTCTCTGTAGAAAATCAATAAAATATATTTTTTTTAAAAAAAGTGGTCACCAGTTTGATTCCTGGTCAGAGCATATGCCCAGGTTGCCCCAGGCTGCGGAATTAATCCTCAGTAGGGGGTGTGCAGAAGGCAGCCAATGATGATTCTCTCTCATCATTGATGTTTCTGTCTATCTCTCCCTCTCTAAAATCAGTAAAAAATATTTTTTTAAAAAGGACCTCATCCTTTAAGTGCCCAGAGTGAAACTAGAAGTAGAGATCTAGCGTAATCTAGTATTATAAGAAATAGTACCCTTGTCATTGTTGAGAAGGAATAGTGCTACGTATGCTTCAATTTACTTTTAAATTGCATGGATGGGACACACCCCCAGCACCTGTGAAGACCATGCTGCAGAGGCCAACCCAAATCAGGTGTGTTGCGGGGAGAGAAAACTGTAGTACCTACTGGGCGGAGCACAGGTGCCTTGGGGATTCCACACTAACTCTAGAGCAGCGGTTCTCAACATGTGGGTCGCAACCCCTTTGGTGGTTGAACGACCCTTTCACAGGGGTCGCCTAAGACCATCCTGCATATCATGTATTTACATTACGATTCATAACAGTAGCAACATTACAGCTATGAAGTAGCAACGAAAATAATTTTATGGTTGAGTCCCAACATGAGGAACTGTATTTAAAGGGCCAGAAGGTTGAGAACCACTGCTCTAGAGGGCGAGCCCCACTGGGATGGGTAGTTTGGGAAAGTACCTAGGAGTCATTTCTCTTAGATGCACTGCTCTCCCAACAAGGGCAGAACTGACCAATACTATCGAATGGGCCAGAGGGACTCCTGACCAAACAGGTTCCGCCAGCTTTGGAGGCAGCTGTTCCCAGCTCAGCACAGAGGGAGGGCAAGGGGTCGCCTTGATGCCGAGCACCTACAGCACACCAAGCTGTGTCCTGAGCTCCCCGCACACGGACTCTGACACTTCACAGACATCGGAGCCTCTAACTGACCGGGGACGAGGCGCATGTTCAACCCAGGCTCCCAGAGCCGAGTGGGGAGCCAAGGCTCTTCACTCAGGCTGACCCCTAAGCTTGTGCTTCTCTTACTCAGGTTTCCCCACAAGGCACTTCTACTGAAACGAAGTCATTTGTGACCTTCCCAGGAAGCTGTCCAACCCAGTGGCTTCTCCGGAAAGGCTGGCTCTTCTTGCAAGGCCTTCCCCCGGCACCTTTTTTTTGGCCACCTGTCTCTCTACCTTCTCTATTGACCAGACTGTAAAGAAGCAGGAAATGTCACTCCAAGACGGACTGAACTGGCCAGGGCACGGACTGGTATTTGTAAGCAGCCAGTGGCCAGCAGCTTTTCAGAGTTATCCTTAGTGGGCAATGTGTTAACTTGGCTTTAATTCTTTATGCTCACATTTTTCAAAGTCCACACAACCAAAACAAAACAGCTCAATAAAAAAGATTAGTTACCTGCCAACCTTTATTCAGGAAGTGAGAGTTACTCTGAAACAGTGCTTCAAACGGCGAGGCACCCCAGGCTTTTGTTCTGCCGTGTGCGGGCGTGTGCGGGCGCTGCCGAGTCCTGCACTCCCACGTAGGCAGCCTGTTTATTAAGGTGTCATTCTGGTTGGCACAACATGGTGGTCACATCTCAGCCGGCTTTATTTTTACTTGGGCAGTGGCCAGAGAACGCAGGTACTTCATCAATCAGGCGGCGTGCTGGGGTCCTAGGCCAAGGTCTGAGTGCTGTGCTGTCCGTGGTCAAGCCCCCCCTGGGGTCTGGGTTACATGCACAAAAGCCTTCGAGATCCCCCACCCGTCCCCAGTCAGGCAGCAAACAGTCTGCTCCACTAATGACAGAATGTCCTCCCCTTCCTCCAGAATCTTCTGAGGAGGATGAAAACAGAAACTAAATCCAGACGAGGATGCTGGAAAGAGATACTGATACACAAAGGCAAAACCATGAGGCAGGGGGGAAGCGAAATGAGAGGTAAAGACAGGAGGTTAAACCATGCGGTCACAGCCAACTGAGAAAGCTGCTAAGAGACACACCGGATAAAAACAAAACCCACCCAGCTCCCTTCCTCCACAAGGTATTGTCATGCAGCAAACCCGTGACACTCCTCTTGTAGTAAGTACTGTTAGTATTCAGTACTTTAACAGTCATGGTGCATTCATATGCTTTTGCATAAATCAAAAAGAAACATAGCAATCAACCTACTGGCAAAATCAGGATGAAAAAGTCCAATTTTTCCACAAAATACAGAAAGTTTCAGATTATTAAGTGGATAATAAATGTTTGCAGCCCTGTATAGAGCTTTGGTTGCCAAATGAAAAACAAAAAATAATCCTGACACAGGATGTTCCAAAAGCCTAATTCATGAAAAAGAGACAATTTATTCTATGTTTAATAAAATGTTTATTAAGGTGGTAACACAAGATAAATCATGCAGGAGCTCAGTAAAAACAAAAAATTAATATAAGGAATGGTAATTGGTGCTGCCAATTTAAAAATATGTCAATCATTTTACTACCCAAAGTGATTTGAAGAAGTTGGAATCTGAGCATGGACATGGTTGCAGCAATCTTGCGGACTGTAAACTAAAGTGACAGGTGACTCCTTGTGTTCTAGTCCTCAGAGGAGTCGAGTCATAGATCCAAAATCATCAGCAAAGTCCCTCGCATCCTGCACTCAGATGGCAGCCCAGAACCCCTGCCCACCGAGTCCTTCGACACCCAGGGGACAGTCTCAAACCGACACTTCTTAGCAGGGGAGGGGAGCAGGCACCTTTGGTGACTCTCAAATGAGACTCCGTCCACATTCAGAATCTTAACATCTGTGGTGATGAAAACCATAGACTTGCATGTCATCCTTACCAGCCTTAAATGTAGTGTTGTGATGTCCAAGGGAGGGTTTTCATATCGGGTGGAAGAAATTTGAACAGATACACCAAATTGAACATAGTGTCTCAGATTTCAAACAAATATGACTCATCTTTTGGCAAAAAATAAATATAGTGGAATGCAAGTTTGATAGATGAAAGAATATATAATCTACCAACTGTCAAGGAGTACGATTTCATTGC